TGCAGTAAATTATTGAATTATATAATGTAGTATACGGCAATGACATTCTACTTATTCCCATAATAGTTTGCAGTAGTGGATTGCTTCTATCTCTTCCTAAATTGAAAGGTAATCTACGCGTTGTGAAGATAGTAACTAGAGATATAGCCCAAGGAGTAGCAAATATAAAATAAAAAAATGTAGTGGTCATTAACATATAAACTGTTCGTTGCTTTACCTTTTTGTTTGCATCCGATTCCTTTTGTAATATTCTACTCTTTCTTTTTAGATGACGTAGTATAAGAGAGTATAAAATGATCATAATAATTGCAGGAAGCATAAATTGGAAAATAAATAGAATAATATTGATTACAGTCGTCCATTCTGTATAATTTTGATACGCAACGCAAATTTTTGGTTTATTATTGAGGGCTGAAGCCGTTATTAGATATGGAAATGCTATTGCGAACGATATTACCCATGAAAGAAAACATAACGATCTAGCTCTCTTTGTTGAAAGCTTTCTAGTGGGTCGAAAAATGGCGTGGTATCTTTCACCGCTGATGATGATTAATGTCTGCATAGAGGCGGTATAGGACCAATATTTTAGAAAGATGGCAAATATTTTACATAAAACAGTTAAAACACTTAATGGCAATTGAAATTGTCTGTCTATGGCCGTTAAAAATAAATTGAATACCGTTGCCGCGCTTTGCATCAAATCGCAGACTGCTAAATTAGTTATGAAGAAGTAAGTTGGCTTTCGGAATGATTTATTGCGATAAACGGTTACAACTATAATTACATTCGGAAAAATCCCAATAATACCACCAAGAACGAGAGTTGTTGCTGATAATATAAGCATGTGCTCACTGAAATACCTTGAACGATTGCAGAAATTACCAATATTACTTCCATTACATGTTGAAACGTTAGACATATTTACAGACGGAAGAAAAAATGATATCAACTTTGCTATTCTTTCTCAAGTATTAAAAGCTTCCTCTCAATTTCTAAAAAAATTAGAAAGATACTCTATTTGTATATTAGCATTGACGCAACACTAAAGACTGTATTGTGAATAAGAAAATGCGACTATAATAATATTTAAATTGTAGTATAAATAGCTCTTCGATGTTCCAAGGCATCATATAGTACGATGTATGGCTTTAGAATCAAGATCGTAAGAAAAATAAACGCTACTGTTACTTGACGACGTTATTA